AAATTAATTTGTTTCTTTGATAAAGCAGTTAAGCAGCATGTTGGTCCCCCCGAGCATTTCAACAGCATATCCCCTTTTCTAATATTTCTGAGAGGGGAATGAAAGCTGAATGCTCAAAACTGCCAGCACATCCACATCCTCTTCTTTGAAAATTGAAAACTGAGACTAATTATAATGGCTCGCACAGTCCAATTATGTTGCTGATCTAATCAGCTAACATCAGGAGAAGCGCTGAATAAATCTGCACAATAGCTGGGACACAGAGTCAATTTCTCCCTGGCCCAGCACATTTAAAGCATGCTTATCAGCTGCATGACATCCGAAAAAAAAGAGACGCTGGCTGCAAAAAATTTTTTGAATCTTCCCCTCCCATTCCTCTACCCACATCCCAAAGAAAGAAGCCTTTAATTTACAAAGGATTTTTTTTTTTTCCCCTGGTGTGGGCACACGCTCTTGAAATAAAGCAAACATAAGCACTTGGGTTTCATTAGTTAGTGATTAAATACATTATGAGATAGAAAATTGGCAGAGAAAGTAAGGCTGGTTTGTTTGTGTTGGTCTTACTGTTGGCTCTTTGTGCACACTCTGAGTGGCAGGCCTCTGTAAACTGAGCTCAACACTTGTGGGGTCCTTCTTCAACTCTACTGGGGGCCTGTCCCCTCTGGATACTCCGTCAAAATTCAGAGATCTGCTTGGCGAAGGAGTAAGTATTACTGTTGTACACTCTTTATCCTTCTCTTGCACACCGTTGAAATTTTCTCCATTCATGCTGACTTTTCCATCTACCTGCAGAATACAGTTAATAAATATGCGGAGGCGATTAGCATTCAAAGGAATTTAGGAAATTAGGACTTCAACATGATATTAAAATTGTTAACACAGTCTGTGCCATCAGTGAAGGACAGAGCCAAGCACACGTTTCATTCAATGGACCAAGATAGAAGAAAACCCTATTCCAGGGGGGTCATAAACAAAATACAGACAGAAGGTAATAATTTTTCTGGATTCCCTGGTTTCCCACATTTCATTCTCCCAGTAACATACAGACACCCTTTGTGTGCATCACAGATCAATGGATTTTAGAAGAACAACAAAGATTTATGTTAAATTTAGACAAAAACTGCTGGGTTTTGCATTGCCTCATGCAAGAAGCAAGCAGGTTCTCCAGGACTAATTACGCTGATGAACTGCTATGTACCTTGATGACCTCACCACAGTATTAGTACACTGTGCTTTCTGAAGCACTATCATGTGAACTTTGAAGGGTCAGGAGCAGCAGAGTTCATCCACTTGTTTCTTTACTGTTCATAACAGGGAAACAAGGAACGAACAAATGAAACTGGGCATTCCACCTTCTCCATGAGGCCATAAAATAAATAGCTGCTTTCCCAGAAAATTATTTTATGCCGTCTCCATGAAAAGGAGAGCATAGAAACAGTTCATTCTCAGGGTCAAGCTAGCTCCTTGGTGGGCATATATTTCCGCTAAGGAACCCTTAAGCAAGGAAGAAAAATACAAAAGAAGCTCTAGCTTCTTCCTCTGTACTGATACAGCTTCCTCTCGGGACTTTAATACTTCACAGTTATGTTCTGAATGGAGGTGGCATGCAAAGACTTCCTTCAATTTGGAGGGATGTTTGTAGAAGCCATGGTATACATGAAAAAAGTCTTGCTACAAAGAACTCACAAGCCATTCACCATAAGAGGGCCCAGCTGGAGAGAGACCAGGAGAGGACCAGGTGTCAGCAACACAATATTGCTCCTGCCTAGCTACAGCACAGATGTTTATAGGCTTGTCAGCAGGGGTGAGTTTTAAATAGATTTGAAGGAGGGCTTTGTAACTTTGTGCACAGAGATCCTTCCTTGCAAAACGGTCATCACGGGACACAACGCAAAGGTGAGGGAGTAAATACGAACAGACTCTTCTCTGCTAATCATTGGACTTAGGGGAAATAATGGCATAGATCAGTGATTTCTTAGAGAAGCTATCTGGGATATATATGATGCTTAGTCATTTCAGATTTCTCCACAGGTACTGCATAAACAAAAATCACATGTAAAAACAAGCTCAGAGGTAAGCCATTCCATGGGAACTTTTAATTTATTTCACTGTTATTGAAAACTGATGCGACAAGTGTCAAAACTGCTTATCGAACTGAAACACAGTTTAAAAAAACCAAAGCTCTTCCCATCTCTTCCTCCCTGCCCCACTCCTTATTTCACCATTTACTTATCTTCAGTACTTTACTTCTTGAGTAAACAGCTTGGATACCTCAAGAGCGGCACTCCAACTTAGTATATGCCATCAGTGCTAAACTGAGGGCAAACTCCTCCCGTCGACGACTTGTATACATGCACCCAGAGGTCTGTTCTCTATCTGAGGGTGATTAATTAAGGGGCCATCTCCGAGGTGCTGGGCATCCTCAGCTCTGATGGACATGCGGGGAGGTGAAGGCAGTTAGCACCTCACGTGATCAGCTCCCAGGCAGAGGAGAAACAGCCCGGCTCTGCAAGCGGTTTCACCCCTTCTGACTGCTTTTCAGATGAAAAGGTTCCCTCCCTTTCCTCACTGCCATCATCCACTCAACACAGTACCACTCTTAGGGTTTATTTCCAAACGCAAGTGTGAGCAGACACTGAGCCCCAGGTCTTCTGGGACTGTGTGCTCGATTATCTACTAGAGAGGCAGGTCATGAAAGATCTCAGAAATAAAAAAGCCAGGAAAACACTGGCAGGCCGCACCATCCATTTTAGTGTCTCTGTTTAGACTAAGACATTTCTCTATTTATATTAGGGAGGAAAACCAAATGTTTGAATGATCAGGACAGATGCCCTGGCTGCAGAGTTAAACAAACATACTTCTTTCCTTCTGATCTGGAGCAAGTCAACACATTGTCACCAGAGCCAAGAAATCATCGACAGACTGGTGCTTCAAGGGAAAATAATGCTACAGCTACATGTGCTAGGGAACGATTCCTACTGAGACAAATCACATTCTTCACATCAAGCGAACAAGATCTAGAGAGACTTTTAATGGTGGTTGGTGGGGGGTAGAAGCATCCGTGGGTTAATTTCTCCCCACATACATGAACTATACATGCATTAATGTGAAGGTGATATACACATATATCTTGGTCCTCTGAGGAAAAAAGTGGCATGGATCAGAAAAAAACCCAAAGATCCGTGGTTCACTGAGGTCTAAAATGTAAATTCTAGGGGAATACCAACTGAGGTATAGGAGAAATAGGAATTACCAGTTTCACATTTCAACTAGGAAACATGGTGGGGGGGTTTCCACAAGAGCTGGGACAGACTTCAAGAAATTTCAGACATCACAAGATGCTTTTTCACTAGCTATACAAAGCTGACTTATTTTTTACAAAGTAAACCACCTGAATATACATGGTAGCAATGCTACTGGGACATCAGCAGGGCTGCAAGGACCCCTCCATGCCACTAGCAAAGTATCAGATAGCAATGGCAGACACAAGGGGACCAGAATTCTACAGGCTGGGGGCACACATGCCAGTAGGCTTTCCACTGCTTACAACAAGGCTACAATGAGACCTCGGGAAGCTCCAGTTTTGGTACAGGCACTGTAAGAAGATGATTTCTTCAAACTTGACTTATTCTGGCCTGTTCTCTCTAACACATCCCAGTTCTTTGCTTTCTTCATCATTGGTTCAGTACCTTACTCCCATTCTCCACATTCACCCAGTCCAAAGATATACTCCTCAGGTTTCATATCCCAGTTAGTGTATTTTCTTCTATCCCCTTCCCCCACAAATCTCATAGCTGGCTCCCTATTCCAGGCAGCTCTGCTTTTGTCCAAGCTCTCTTACTTCCTTTATTCCCATAATCTTTGTGCAGTTCTTGCAACCCAAAGCAGTCGCTCCCCCTCTCTCACCAGCAATCCCCAGTTACGCCGCTGCCCCAGTACCAATCCGTTTCCCTAAACCTGCATGGACAGCCTATATCCCCTCTTTACGCCAGCGAAGAAGCATGTTTAGGACAGAGAGTATCTTTGGGCAAGCTGGCTCTTGACTCTGAAGGAGTAGGGGACTCTCCACACTGAATACATGCACGCTGCAGTGTTTCAAAGGCTTATGACTTGGCTGAATGGGACAGACTTGTTTGGTATGGCAAAAATCAGACCCTTGACACAAAAGCCAGTTCAGGTCTTGCTCCAAAAGTCAGGGCCTACACGCTCCCTGCCCCTTCCCTTTTGTTTATAAACAAAAAAACCATGACAACATACTCTTTCCTACCCTCTTTCTCAGAAAATGCCTTGCTTTTTTCTTAGAGCCTCCCCTTTCCCCGTCTTTCCCCAAAGAAATTTAGCCTGAGGAAAAATGACCAGCACAAATATACAGAGCATGAAGCTGAGTTTTATAACATCAGAATGCTGCAATCATTTTCTACTTAATTACATTAAACATTTGTATGTTCAGATGATTTAGTCAGGATCTCTTTGCTTCCTGATTGATTTTGGGGAGTGCAACGTATCCTACCTTAAAGCTCTTTAAAACTTCCTGTGTATTTTTGGGTTGTGAGTAAGGCTTGGGTGTCAGCATAGGCACAGCCTTGGAGACAATGCTTTTGCTGGGAGATGTGCGGCCCGTCGAACCACTGGGCTCTAGTTCAGTGGTGGGAACAATAGTTGCTTCAACGGTGGCAGTGAATTTTGGAGCAGGCAGTGACTGTTGCCTTAAATATCTCAGAGGATTTGGGTCTTTCAGTGGGGAATTTGGCTCCACTGAATGGCTTCTTTCCAGAATTTTTGGCATCTGCAAACGCTCAAGGACAGCTTCACTGATAGTGAATCTTTCGATGTACTGCTGGAGGATGCTCTCAGCCTCCTCTTGTGACTTTGCATTCTTGTATGCCTCATGAAGCTCCCGCTCTCTTCTCTCTCTGCAAGGGAGACAACACAAGGGAGACCATAACATTAAAATTAACGCTGGAAATCACTCCTATTTCCTCTGCTCCATCAACGTCCTTCCCTCTCCCTCACCCCAGGCCTGCAGGCATGGCTGCCCACAGTTACCTATCACCTATGGAGCACACAGCATTTTCAGACATGCCACTGCACTTCAGTAAAACAACGTACTTCTCTTCCACAATTTCTCGGTAGGTTTTGATGCTTTTTCTGCGCTCATTCGTTCCATCTCCAGACAACAACCTTTCCATTTTCTTCCTCTCAGCTTCTTTTTTTATTAAATCCTGTGAAGCGCTCCTTCGACGACTCTTCCACCGAGCCAGGTCCTGTGAGAAAAGGAAGGCACCTGAATGCAGAGTTGCAAATAGCTAAAAACTGGCCACAGAAACCAATGAACCCAGCCAGCCGCTTTGCAATGCTTGTTCCTGGTTGTGGCCCAGGCTCCCATCACCTGCAGGCAACGATGTTTATTTTAAAGAGAAAAGGAGATTATACCATAAAATGAAGATGTTGCCTGACTGATTTTTCTCCTAACAGCACGATGCAGTAAGGATTTCATAACTCCACTGGTGTATTTTCTTCTTGACTTTGTAGTGTAGCAGAAGCACACTAGGTAGTAACACCAGGAAATTTGGCCTAAAAGGACCAGTCAGGGCACTCATTTCCACTCGGGCCAACATTAGGGACAAAACCTGATTCCCCAGGAAGATGAAGTAGAAAAATTATGTTTGGTGAAGAATTTTAATAATCAGATGTGTGGGAGGCAGGAGTTCATTGGAGGAAGGGATGTTGTTTCATCATGAACTATAGCTGCACTGATAGTCTGCCTTGGAGAGCTGATAGTCCCACACTTTGCCCATGCCATCAGCCAACTACATGCAAGCATGGTTGGCCCATGCTCTTTTTTTTCTTTTTTTTGACAGAAAAATCCAGTGAAGCATCCAAACTGACATTCTTCCTCATGGGCACCTTCCAATAGTTTGGACCCAGATCTGAGCAACACAGGTTAGGGACTAAAGTGGCTCACACCTGGTTGGTATGAGACATGGCAGAGCAAAAAGCCTATGGTTTGTATCCAGCTATATAGGTATGTCCTTGTTGGAAGTAATGTTCTTACTCTCTTTGGAATCTGCCTGCCCAAAATTGTCCAGAAGATCCACTGATTCTGGTTCTTTACCCGTCTTGCAAAACCAGCCTGACACTAAACCAGAAAGTCACAGCAGATACCTGTTACGAACACCTATGTCTTGCATCCTACTTGGGTTATGAATTCACAAGTCCTGGAGGATAAAGAGACAAGATCTGTTTCACAGTAAAAGTATTACAGTAAAGGAGTTTCCTAAGCAGTAAAATTTCTTTGCAGCCAACTAGTAAGGGAACAAAATTTTACATGTAAAAAATAACCTCTGCAGAACTTCTGCAAAGAAAAATAACTTCTTAGGAAACTGTAGGGGCACATCTGTCAAACTTTACAACATCAGGCGATTAGTATACAGATTGTATTTCATGCACTCTAACAAATTCTGGTTTTAATAAAAACCAGAGATTCTGCACACATACTCAGTTCAAAGGCTATTTCATTAATTACATGGTTTTCCAAATATTTTAATTGCATTTTTATTGGTAAACAGCAGAAGGTACTGCAAGCATAACGTATTTTATTAAAACCAGGAACAAACCTTGTCACTTTTAATTTAGCTTAAAACCACAAATTATTGACGTTACACTCAAGGGAATGCTCATTAAAGTATTTCTTCACATGACCTACATATATCAGTCTATAATCCCCTTCTTGAAACATAGGCCTTTCATTTTCCTCAGTTACTAATTATTCTCTTTGAAGTACCAAAGCATTTCTTTATTCAGCTACTCCCACTATTGCCTATTGTTTGGAAATTAGTTTTTCATTAGCAAATTTCATAACATAAGCCCTCCTCCTCTTTTTGTAATTAAAAACTAGACATATTTATCTTTTCCTGCTCTGATGCTTTAGAATAACAATAATTTTAAAAAGCCATGAAACTGTTAATTGTTGGCAAATTTACAGCACGGGCATATAAAAAAATATCCGACCATGAATGCGGTGCCGTCTCCGTTAATGCCTTTTGAATGCCAAGGACATTCCAGCAAGGGCATTTTTAGTGGTTCTTCAGAACTTTTAGTTCAGTGTAGAAGGTGCTGAGGGCCTGGAAAACTTACGCACTTCAGCTCAGAGGATTTTCCATTCAACAGCAAAAAGTTCTCAAACCTCTTGAATGCTTTTGGACTCATTCTTATCTCTGCTGGGAAATTATGGCTTCCCACACATACAGACCTCTCAGCTGAAATCCTTCATTATTCTACTATGAAAAGTTATTTCTTAGTTGTTCTTTTTTAGACTTTCCTCCAATTTTCTACCAAAAACCTCTCTGAGATGTTTCACAGTAGCTGTCCTTATAATGTGAAATTACTGTACTAGCTGCTTGAAGGGATATGGTTTTTTGTTGGGGTTTTTTTTGGTTTTGTTTTTTTTTTTTAAATTAAAAAAATATGCCCAAAATTCCTCATTTAAAATCAGTCTTTAGGAATGAACAGGATTGATACTAAAACTCCTGATACTAAATTACCTGCAAATGATGCTTTTCTGTCTTTACTGATTTGCTGAAGATAATGCCAAATGCCAGGACAGCTTAAAAAACCCCAAACATTGAGGAAAGAGGGTTTGGAAAGGACTTGTAACCCAAGCACGGTGTAGCTAACTTGAAGGGTAATTTGTTTGCTTGGACAAAATGGAAAATGTTAGCATTTTCTGTATCTATGCAAGTTTATTAAAGCCAAGTCAAACCTATTTATTCACTGTCCTGCTGAGTCTTGTATTTTGTCACTTTGGGCATTTACTAATTATAAAAGTTAGAGAAATCAGCAGTTAGAAGCTGTTCTGCTTCCATTTTTAGCTAATCACAGTTTAATTACATTTTTTAAAAAAGAAGATACGTGGTGCACAGGCAGAGGCACCAGAAGACCTTGTATTCTGTAATTTACATCAAATTATGAACTTCTATGCTTTTAGCAACAATCCATTGCGGGGAGAGGGGGGAGCTCCTGGTTATTTTAGTGCTAGAACACTAGCATCTACAGTCTAGAACAACTGTAGATTTAGCAGGTTACACTTTTTTGCCTACCTAGCTGGCCTCAACGCCAGCACTGCAGACAACGTTGCATACTCACATCTTGCCATCTGGTCTCATCCTCTTTCAGCTGGTTGTGTACGTTCTGCAGTTTCTCATGGCGAGCTTTGCTATGAGGCTGAGTCACAGCTTCTTCTTCACATCTCATGTCAAACATGCTCATACTCCTAAACAAGGGGAAAATAAGAAGTGCGGCGTTATTTAGAGGCTTATATTGCTCCAGCTTGTTAGAGCTAAAGCCACGAGGGTGTACAGCAGAATCAGACACCTGCACCATTACGAAGCTCCCAAAAGCAGCAGTCCCCTAGAAAGACCAGCTAGCATCCCTATCCCACATAGTACTTCAGGAATTATACTCCTCAACTTTCTCTTGTTTTTGTTAGTTGACTACAACTTTGCCTCTCACTAAGAAGCATTACTAACATTATACCTCCATCAATAGTTATTAAAATCATTCTATTCAGAGCAGAGTTCAGAATGTTTTACTTTCTGAAGATTTGTTTCCCAATGAGTTTTCAAGACCCCTCCAATTAACACCGCAGACAGAAGTTTCCATTTCAGTGTAAAACAAGAGAGGCTTGAGAAGTATATTAGGGGCAGCATAGCAGGCTAAATGCTATGGCTACCAAACTGGGGAGAGCCTGCCCAGAGAAGTACACGCAGCGCAAACAGCATGGTGCTTCCTCCTTTCCCCTCCCTGCCTCGAAGAAACTCAATGCTATCAGCACCGACTTGTTAATACAGCTAGCCTAACAAGGAAAAGCTGACGTTCAGAAAGAAACTGTTTTGTCCTACACATTCTATTTCTGTCCCTGACCTTTGGAGACTTAAAGGGAAAAAAAGGTCATGGTTTGATATTATACATCAATTCATATTATATAAAGATCTTCACATGAAGATAACATACTTACTACTCCCCCCCTACTACCTATTATTAGTGAAACATGACCTCAGTTGTGCCATTAAAAGCAAAAAGCGAAAAAAAAAAAAAAAGCGCCATGCAGTTCCACATGAAGTGATTTCACAGCAGTCTTCAAACGATCATCTGTAGCTTTAGGTGAGCCAACGAGCCAACTAGCAGGAGAAGCACCCAATGAAGATAACATTGGCTGTGTCCACAGTAATCAAAGTGAATAGACACAGAAAGCTGTGCATATATATATTTAGCCAACATTTGTATTCAGGCAAGCAAAGATGGGAATGAACCACTCTCAAGGGAAAACTGAAAGATCTGGACAGCGGATGGAAAAGGCCATGCACAGATCCCATCCTGTTAGTAGGTATTTACTCGGAAATGAAGGACAGAATACACATCCTATTGCCTTTAAGCATGAACAGCAAGGTTAGCGTATTACTGTGCTTCACCCCTTAAACGGAATGCTGAGTGGTACACTAATTTGGGTTTCTCTGTGGGTAGTTTAAGGGTTGTATTGCTCAAGATTGGATTGCAGCACTCCTAAATAACAGAACCTAAAACGATGGCAAGTTTTGTTGTTTTTAAAACTAAAGGCATACCACCTACTAAGGAACATGTAAATATCAGTCATATTTTGCAGACTGGTGAGGTAGGCTGGGAGATGCATAACTTGTAATGAAGTCACCCTTAAAGGGTTTATTCCAGTTTAAGAGCTTTTGAAACTCACACTAAGAAAAGCCTTTAGCGTTAAGTATTTACCACTTTGTGCCTACTGGGTCAAACTGGTTGTGTAGCTCCTTTCTTGTATCCTTCCCACATGTCAGAGAATTTTTCATTCATATACAGTAGAAGAAAACAGAAGACCTGAAATGGTGGTAACTGGCTCTAGTAGAGTGCACGAGTACTCGTCCTCTGCCATTTGGAATGGGAAAATAAAAATATTTTCTACCAAGAATCCCCTGATGTCCTGATGAAAGGCTAGTATTTATTCCCTGCATTCATTCGGGTCTCAGGGTACACAGAGACAGCAAAACCAAAGGTTTTATGGCTACTAACAACGCGGTAAAAAAAGACACTCTGGAGAAGGCTTCAGCCCAGGCCAGGAATCAAACTATACACTACAACCCCACATGCACCTTCTACTCTAGTTGTCACCTCCTGCTGCTGGGCCTTCATTGCCGTGGATAAGCGACCAGGTAGGTTCAAACATCAATTCTGCAGCAACATGTTATTGCGCAAATGTATCTTCCCAAGAGAGCAATCTGAAGGAGTCACATCTCAAAGCACTGTGCTCTGCTCTGACCAACATGTAGTAACCATTAAGGAGAACCACCTACTTTCCTGAATACATGGACAAGGCCAACTGAAAAGTCTACATCGACTTCTCTGCCTGACAAGTTCATCCTTAGAAAAGAACCAAAGAGGCCAAAACTCTGAGCTTCTGCCGAAAGACGCTTCACTATGAATCCCACATCATTTCGTCCTATATAAACTACAAATAGCTCCAGCCCATCACCAACACCTGCATGAACAGAACTAGATTCACTCCTCCTTTCAACCATGCACTGGGCCAGCAGGCACAGAGCATGCAAGTAGATGGGGGAGATGTAACTGTACTGAATTCATGCTCGTGAATTTTCTGCCATTAGCAAAGCTCTGGGGATTGTATCCAAACTCAGTCTGGAATCAAGAGACCTTTCTGCTGACCAGTGTACCAGACCTGCTGTTCTAACAAGGATCTGGGAAAAAACACTGTGCAGACCAACAGTGTATTTTGGAGGGCTAGATCTTCGGGATGATGTGTTTTTTAAGTTATGCTACTTCATTCTCTCAAATTACAGTTGTTCTTGTCAGTGATATCATGCAGCAATTTTTTTTTTTAAACAGTTCTGAACAAGTGTTGGATAAAAGAAGTCCTCAAGGACTTGAGTGTTCAGACTATTTAATTTGAAAGTGAGAAATAAGGTAAAAAACTTCTTTTTATGAGAATATGTTAAAAATCCTTATGCAAGGCATTTATTATGTGGCTGCATTACCATTTTACAGGCGTACTAAGACTTAAGAAACCCCAACAAAACATAAAAAGCAACAGACTGGCTAAAGAATCAGACTCTAGTAAACAAATACTCAAAAATCTCAGCTCACTATTACTTGCTTGTCAGGCTTAACGTATAAAGCATAAGCCTAAACGCACACTGGACTGTCACACTACCACCAGAATTCAGCCCCATCTCTTCGGGAGATGGGAATGGGGCTGCTCAGCAGCCACACACTAAGTATTGCCTCTTCTGGACCTTGAGACAGAGCAGGGCTGATGACAATATCTAGCATTCACTAACCAGCGAAGGGAACTTTGTCAGTCTAATGAAGGAGTTTCTAGTTTTGCTCCTGGAATAAACAGCACCTAGTCTAAGACTGAATTCAAGTTACAGAGTTTTCAAAGGAGACTTGATAAACATTTTGGATGCATTTTAAATGTCAGTTCAATTTATTTTTCCTACTTGAGAGCCAAATTTTTTTAGATTCTTTGTAAGTACTTTGTCTTCAGAAGGAAAAACACAATCTTAGTTTATAAGAACTTAGAAGACAGTTTAGGAAAATAGTTGCTCTGAAACTGTGGCACATCTGGAAATGATGACAACGAGGCTTTAACATTTATTGTTTTGCCTTTTAAAACAAAATCAGAATCAATACGGAATAAACAATATAATTTATTCATCTTTGCTACTTTCATATTATACAACTAAACGCCTTGCAATGCCTCTTTGAAGGCATCTCCATGTACCTTCTCTCACGTTTGCATTTAATACAAACATGCAAAAATGTGAGAAAACAACCGAACAAATCAGTCAGGTAGGCTTTTCGAAATGGCAGGGAAGTCTCCATTGTTAAGTATAACACTTCTGTGTTGTTATGCTCTTTTTATCTCATCTCTTCATTTGATTGAACAGATTTCTGCTGCTTGAAAATGATCACATTTACTCTGTGGTCAGAGGACACAGGCTTTGCTCAGCATAAAGGTATTACAGATCTTGTAAAGAATATTCAGTCCGTGATTCTAGCCTTTATCATTAGAGGAAAGGGTGAAACATTATATATGAGTCTCTGTATATACTTGTTATTAAAAAACCCTCCATGCTGTTTCTATTTTGTGATTTAATCTGGGAGACAGATGTGCATTTCTGTGAACAGAAGAAGGATATTAAGGACATTACTATGTGGGTAGTTCCCAACTACTTCTTTGCTTCTAAATGCCTGCACTTTGTAAGAATAGCTAATACTTTCACAGAGCTTTCTAAATGGCATTGCATACTATTCTGAACTACAGTTTACATGCATACACACAATTAAAATATGTTTGAGTGCAATAAATGTCACAGTCCTACTCCTTCTGCCAAAAGTAAAACATCAAGGTGAAGAGCTTAAAAAAATGACATTTAGTATATTATTAAATTAAACCCAACCTAGAAAAGATTCAAGAGAAAGTTTTTAAAAGACAATAAAGGAACAGCTGAAGGCATATTTTCCTGGTAATTATTCTGAAGATCACAATGGATTTTATTTTATTTTGGGATTTCATTTTTCTTCCTGTATAGGTCATACTTCATTTTTTTTCCTCAACACCCAGCCCAGATTCAACCCAACTCTCTTTACCTGTAGCTGATTAGAGGCAATGGAAATTCAGAAGAAAAACAAAAGAAAAGAAAAAAAGAGGAAACAATACTTTAAGCAACAGCTGGACATTAGTGTTACGCTCAGTTTTTATGGGCTTTTATATAAAAATTATTTTTAGCTGCAATGTAAGCCATATTGCATTCCATTTTTCAGTGCTTTTCTGAAAAATTTATTTGGTGGAACACTGCAAAATAATAATGAGGCATCAACTGCATTTTAAATTAGTAGAAAGACGGGAAAGCATGCAGTGTAAGTTGTTTAAAACAAAATCTTGTGAACACAAGACAACTTACTCTGCGTCATCAGACACAGCAGTTCTGGGGCCGAATCTACAAGACCAAATATAAAATTAGAGTGTTGATAAATACATTAAGTAGTAATTGCAACTGGACCCATACAATTTGGGTAACTGTCACTTAACCATCCAACCTGTACTAGTAAGGCTGACCGAAAAAGAATCATACTGTTCAGGGATTACGTATTCAGCAAGCAAGACTTACCTAATCATTTGGAGGTCAAACTACGTTAAGAACACCACCCATCCCTCCCTGACCCCATACTAATGCCCCCATTCTAAAAATCTGCTGAAGTATACCTAAAATAGGTGTAGAAAATGGTTATTGAAAATAGACAATATATTAACATTTATATTAAGTGCCACACATGCGATGAATGGAGACAAAACTTAATAGTTACATTCCACAGCAGTGCTCAGAATCACCGTTACTGAAGCAGGAAGAGACAAATATTATAGTCAGAAAGCGAGCCACAGGATTTCCTTTTTGTTGTTTTTGTTGGGGTTTTTTTGGGGTGGGGTGGTGTAGCTGAAAAAAGGTACTGGTAATACACAAGTCAGTGTCATTCACTAAAGTGACAGTCCTGTTTAGAGCCATGCAAACCACATATTTGTATCTGGGATTTATCAGAAAAGAACATCAAGTACAAAAGTCGACACTGTAACATTTTCTAATCATGGAGAAGCAAGACACACATCTCGGAGAGCAGAGTCCAATTGAACCTCTGGTATTCATAAACCTTTTTTGCAATTCAACATATATACTGTAGTAAAATATTTCCTTTCAATTAGCTTTCATTTCAATATTTCAAATATTTCAAAAGAAACTACATTACACAACTATTCTGTTTGTTTCTAAAATGTGTATTACTGACAATCAGTATTTTAGTCTGGACTGAAAACACACCAGGCAATGCACAATCTGAATTCTGAAGTGTGGACACAGGGGAGTACAAGCTGCGTGATTCACACCACAGAGAGCTCACGTTTGCAGATGCTCATCCTTGGATGACAACGTTTCCGTTTTGTTTTCCTCAGGAACCTCCTGAAGCTTAGACATTTGACCAAGGTGGACTTCATTAAGGCTACCTTCACCCACTTGGGCAGTACAAATAGTCTCATCTTGTCCTGCAGGAGGGAGACTGCATTTTTCCTGCCCTTGCTGCTGTTCTTGCGGCAGTTGTACTACGGGTTTTCCAGAGCTATTAATGCAGACTTGTGGACATTTTTCAGGCCTGAATGAGCCAGAGGCAGCAGTGCAAAGAGACTTATTAAGCAACATTTGAAAAATCACATATACATAATAAAAAGCCTAACTGTAAGTTAACATTACACACACACCCCCCCCCAACCCTAAAGAGCTGATAGGTAACAAGCTAAGTGAGGCAGGTGCACAAAATAATTTTAACAGAGAGTCAAATGCTTGTACTTCCATTCCTCTAAGTCAGAAACATAAGCTGTCCTGGACACTGCCAAAGATTAAAGTATTAAGCACGTATTTTAACTCAGCCATTCAACTTAAGGTCTTCTCAACACCAAACCACAGTTCAATTCTACGGTAGATGAGAGTTTTTCTTCTCCCAGATGAGCTGTACACTAGTTTTTCATCTGTGTATGCACAGACGCATGCATATCCTTCTCCTCATGTACTTTGAAGAGGCTGATGAATAAGAACCTTTCCACTCCCGCCTGCATGTGGCTCAACCAGCCAACGATAACTGTTCAAAGGCTTAAACCGCCAGCTTCCCCACACAGCCTTACGCATCTGAACAAAAGTGCTTAGAAAGACACTGAGCATTATCAGGAGGGATCTCGGGATCTCTTGATTTCCTCTTTGGAAGTCACTGGCATCAGCTAAGCCACAGACAAGCATCTAACCTACCATATCCAGCACCTCTATTTCTAGCTGGAAACATTTGTAATGATTAACTCGTATTTAACTAGAAACCTCTGCAAATGTAACACAATCTTGCTATGCATATCCATTTCCACACGCTGTTAGAATTTTGCATCTGGTAGATCTCTGCTCCGAGTCTTTACAGGGCTCTACCAAAAGGGCCAGAAACCCTGCGTTGCCTTCTTTTGAGCAGAAAGAGTAGCACAGAATTGAGGACAAGTACGGAAGAAACCGCTGCTGGGCCAACAGCAAGTCTTTCAGATCAAGAGATCTTGACAAACAGCACACAGGGCCAGTTCCAAGGGCAAGAGAGAAGCACAACTTTC